TGGATGGATGGATGGATGGATGGATGGATGGATGGATGGATGGATGGATGGTTTGTTGGATGGAGGATGATGGGGGTTGGTTGGAAGACTGGTTGGTTGTATGGATGGATGATGGCTAGATGGGGTTGGTTGAATGGTTAGTTGTATGGATGGATGGATGGATGGATGGCTAGATGGGGGTTGGTTGAATGGTTGGTTGGTTGTTGGTTGGTTGGTTGGTTGGTTGGTTGGTTGGATAGTTGGAAGACTGGTTGGTTGTATGGATGGATGATGGCTATATGGGGTTGGTTGAATGGTTAGTTGTATGGATGGATGGATGGCTAGATGGGGGTTGGTTGAATGGATGGTTGGATAGTTGGAAGACTGGATGGATGGATGGACCAGCCCTATCATTTCAGAAAGTTTATATTTTACTTAAAGGTACATTTCCCTCAAAAGACTGGGGTGGTTGAAGTTTAATCTATGGTGACCAAGCCCCCCCCCCCCCCCCCCCCCGGGCTCCTCCACTGCTCCTGGTGGTGATAAAATGGCTCCCTGCTCTCACCAGGAACCGTCATTCACTCTCTAAAACCTCCCTCTGTTCTTCTCCACAGTGTAACTTGTACCTGCTTGAATTTTTGCACCAAAAACATTTAGGTTTATTTTATTCTCAGTTTAATTTGAGTCCAGAAAAACACTCGTCTACAAAGCTACATTCACTTTTAAAATCCTTCAGCGGTGGAGGATGGTGCAGCTTTTTAATCTTTGTACACTTCTGTAACAACTCACAACCAAACGTGAACATTTTGTCTGCTTAAATGAAGAATGTCTCATTTCCTGCTTCACTTGTTTTATTGGTTAAAGGGAAAGTGTGGCCATTGTTCTGTAGCTGAATGAATCATTTGGACCGTATCAGTCATGAAGCAAGGAGTTTGGAGAAAGAGAAGGCTAATGTCCACATGAAGGCTTCGCTTCAGCTAAATGTCCGTGTTGTGAAACCAAACGTGCACTTTTGAACACGTCAGATCATTTGTGTACAAAATATTCGCACAGTTCTTTTGTCGTAGCATAACTGAGCATCACATAAACATTACCAGAGGGTGCCAGCAAGTTTCTAAATACTTATAGGACTCTTGAGCCAACTAAGAGCTAAATGTTATTTATCACATGGTGACCTGCAGAAGGGAAACCTGGGCTCTGATTTCTGCTGGGCAGAGGCCAAACTGGACACATTTTTATCTTTGTTCCCGTTAGGAATGTGTTGCCGTTTTGATGTGCCTCAGCTGAAACTGTGTGCAACTCGAAACTGATAAAAAACACTTTGACTTGGTTCAGACGTCCCAGAACTGTTTCTGCTGTTTTGTGACTCATGGCAGCTGAGTGAAGCGAAACAAAAAGCTGCAGCTCAGCGTTCAGAGGCAGCAGCTTCAACCAAAGCTTTCTGCCACAGTTTACATCCTAGCCTGTCCTGCACACACTCTGAGAGGGAAAAACACTTAGGAAGTATTTCTACAGGCAGCTATGGTACAAAACTCAATCAAACATCAATGTTTTGTTCTTAAACCTGATAAGAGTTGAATTTTTACTTTAAAAAAGTTTGTGCTGACAAAATATGAAGTTCGACATTAATAATAAAATGTAACAAGTGGTACTCTGCTGCCCCTCGTCACTGAGGGGTTTGAGTAGTGAGTGTTTGTAGTCTTGGAGATGAGCGTTTTTCTGGACTGCAGCTGAACAGAGAATGGAAGGAAACCTAAATGTTTTTAGTCTAAGATATTTAAGATAGTAGAAGTTACACTGTGGAGAAGAACAGAGGGAGGTTTCGTTCGGTCCGTTCGGTTGGAAGACTGGTTGAATGTATGCATGGTTGGTTGGTTGGTAGGTAGGTTGGTTTGTTGGTTTGTTGGTAAGTTGGTTGGTTGGATAGTTGGAAGACTGGTTGAATATATGCATGGATGGATGGAGGGTTGCTTGGATGGTTGGTTTGTATTTTTGGTTGGTTGGTAGATTGTTTGGTAGGTTGGTTTGTTGGTTGATTGGTTGATTGGTTGGTTGGTTGGTTGGTTGGATAGTTGGATAGTTGGAAGACTGGTTGAATGTATGCATGGGTGGATGGAGGGTTGGTTGGATGGTTGGT